GGCCTGCCCACCTGTCGGGCATCCGCGCGGTCGCTCCTCCAGGCCCAGAGGCCGGCCAGGCCGAAGGCCAGCAGCAGGCTGCCCAGCAGTGCCGCCCCCACGGGATTGCCGGGCACGCGGGCGAGCAGCTGCCCGGCGTCCTGCAGGCGCACAGTGCGGGGCACAACCAGGAAGGAGCTGCCAAAGAAGCTGAGGTGGTTGCACAGGCAGCGGGTGCTGCTCATGTCGCTGCCGGGCCCCACCTGCAAGACGGGCTGTCAGTGCCTCCTGCTGTGCCCCACAGCTCGGCTGGCACCAGCTCCAGCTCCAGCTCCACTCACCTGGCAGCCGCCCGTGGCCCAGGCCCGCTGGCTCTGGTCCCAGAAGTAGCAGCACGTGGTGGCTGTGGTGACCGAGACACCCACAGGCCCCTGCTCTGGGCTCCATGCCACCACGGCCATGAGGTGGTAGCGCCCGGGGCCAGGCCACAGTTTCTCTGGGGGCAGCGCCCAGGTGTAGGTGTCTCCTTGGCACAGGGAGAGGGGCTGTCTCACGAGGCTGCCTGAGGCCCAGGCCAAGCTGCACAGAGTCGGGGCAGGACAGGGCCTACCGTGGGGTGGGCTGCGGCGCTGGGGCAGCGTGGTGCTGAACAGGAAGTGGGTGCGGTTGGGCAGGTGGCCAAAGCCCAGGTAGAGGTCAACAGGCAGGGGGGCATCGGGCTGCACGTGCACGAGCAGGGTGTCCTTTGCCGACGTGAGGTTCAGCTCCACGTGGAAGTGCTGGGCACTGAGGTTGAGGCATGTGGGGACTGGCGCCGCGGCCTCATCCCGCCACAGCCCGACCTGCAGGGGCAAGTGGAGGCCAGGGCTGGGGAAGGCTGGCAGCCTGCTCCCCCATGGCCTGGTCCCCGGCCGGCACTGGGGGCTCAGAGATGGGGATGGACCCCTCCAGGCAGCGCCCACTGGGCCACACCTCAATCTCCTCGCGCAGGCCATACACGTCCAGGGCACCATTGGCCGAGGTAAGGGAGACACCGCCCACGCTGCTGATCTCTGTCCTGTCCAGGTGTTTGAAGGGGTTGAGAGCCAGGACCGTGAGCTGCAGGCAGAGACTCCTTGAGCTGCCTGCTCCAGGGGCAGCCGGCAGCAGCTTGGGCTGGGCTCTGGGCCCAGCCACGTTGGCTCAGAGCTCTGGGGCTTGCAGCGCACACTGAGCTCCATGCATGCCCCAGCACTGGGGCTAGGTCTGGGGAGAGCAATAGCCCTGGGGCACCGTGCGCCAGCCCACCTGGAGCTGCACGTCAGGGTGCGCAGGCAGGAACATGGCCAGCACCGAGGCGGTTGGGAAGGTCACGTCCAGCAGGCGTGGCTGGGCCAGGCGGTGTGAACTTAGGGGCAGGCAAGTGATGCCACAGCTGGAGGGGAGGGACTGGGTCCATGCATGGCACTGGACCTCACCCCTTACCAGAGGTCCATGCCCCACGCCAGCACCCCCGGTACCTGCTTAGCTGTGTTGCCACAGTAGGCGTGCTCACAGTCACAGGGGTCCCTGTGTTGTGGTTGTACCACAGCATCATCTGCACAAGGGGCAGTGCAGCCAGGGTGTCCTCCAGGGCCTGCAGCACATGGCACCAAGAAGAGTGGTCACTGGTGCTCCCACAGGCGGCATCAGGCCGGTCCTCCCATGGTCAGGAGGCATGAGGGAGAGCCCCAGCAGGGGCAGTGGGGCCAGGCACTGCCAGAGGCTGGGCTGGAGGGTGTTCTCCCAGTCTGATGCCCCCTATCCCAGCCCCTGGGGCCTACCTGCTCCAAGGCTGAGCCAGGGGGGCCTGTGGTGGAGTCCAGCGCCATCAGGATGTTGCTGAAAGCCTGGAAGAGTGCCGTGGCGGCGGTGGCAGTGCCGGTGGCTGGGTGGCTGCTGTTGCTGGGGTCAGGGGTCTGCAGCAGCTGTGAGCTCAGGTGCAGGAGTGACGCGCTGGCCTCTCTCTGGGGACGTGGAGCTGGGTGGGTGGGGAGCTCGGGCAGCCAGGGACCTGGAGCAGGCACCTCGCCCCAGCCCCAGCTGTACCTGTGCCGCTGGGGACAGCAGCGGTGGTGCCTCTGTCAGGCACTGGAGGATGTGACAGGCTTGCTGCAGCTCTGGGAAGCGGTGGATGCCACGGATGGCCTGGCCAAAGCCCATCACCGCATCCTCCACGGCCTGCAGAGCCCAAGTACATGGCTAGTCAGTCGGTGCTTGGGGCTGGGGGCAGCAGGGCTGGAGAGGGCCCCGCCACCCCAACTCCGGAGACCCTGGCCAGGGAGAATACGCAGGCCGCTGGCCCCTACCTGCGCTGCCAGCTCTGCTGAGAGGTTCTGGAGCAGAGCCCGAGGACTGAGCGTGAACGGGCCCAGGACGGAGCTGGGTGGGGGGGCAGACGACCCTGGTGTGGCTGATGGCACGGCCTGCCCTGGCCACAAGGCAGGGGGCACTTTGGGGGTGGGCT